AGCAACAAGGAGCAGTATCAGGCATCAACACTTCAAGGAGCAGTATCAGGCATCAACAACACAGCAACAAGGAGAAGTATCAGGCATCAACAACACAGCAACAAGGAGAAGTATCAGGCATCAACAACACAGCAACAAGGAGAAGTATCAGGCATCAACACAACAAGGAGAAGTATCAGGCATCAACACAACAAGGAGCAGTATCAGGCATCAACACAACAAGGAGCAGTATCAGGCATCAACAACACAGCAACAAGGAGAAGTATCAGGCATCAACACAACAAGGATCAGTATCAGGCATCAACAACACAGCAACAAGGAGCAGTATCAGGCATCAACACAACAAGGAGCAGTATCAGTCATCAACAACACAGCAACAAGGAGAAGTATCAGGCATCAACACAACAAGGAGCAGTATCAGGCATCAACAACACAGCAACAAGGAGAAGTATCAGGCATCAACAACACAGCAACAAGGAGCAGTATCAGGCATCAACACAACAAGGAGCAGTATCAGGCATCAACAACACAGCAACAAGGAGAAGTATCAGGCATCAACACAACAAGGATCAGTATCAGGCATCAACAACACAGCAACAAGGAGAAGTATAAGGCATCAACAACACAGCAACAAGGAGCAGTATCAGGCATCAACAAGCTAGAAACATTAAGTTGTTCAGTAACGCCTCGTTTTTATATTAAAATATAATTCTAGCTTTACAATACGGTATGGACGGAAAAGATGGACAGACACTGTGTTCATCTGTGTCTTTCAGTCAACAATATGAGCGCCGGAAGGGTGGGAAAACAGTCTTGAAATCGTAAATCCCAGCCTCGTAAATACATTTAAGATTTGTAACTGTTCAGGGAACAGTTGTTTAAGTTTTCATATCAGATAATCCTTAAATGATTACCTTGAGGTTACCTTGAGGTGCTTCCGGGGCTTAGCGTCCCCGCAGCCGGGTCGTCGACCAGGCCTCCTGGTTGGTGGACTGGTCAACCAGGCTGTTGGACGCGGATGCTCTCAGCCTGACGTACGAATCACAGCCTGGTTGATCAGGTATCCTTTGGAGGATATGGTTAACAAAAAAATGAATTGTAATATGAGAAAAATCTGTCATAGGACCTTTTCTCCCCCAGACTCAACGCTTCCCATTGCTCTCTCTCATCTTCCCTCCCTTGCCCTCCTACCTTCCCTCCCTCCCTCACTTGCCCTCTCTTGAGGAGGCAAGTAATCTGAGCAGTAAGAAGGATCATATTGCAGGTGGCCCTCATTGTAGGGCTCCATGACAAGCACACCATGAAAGGAACGCCGATTGCCTGCAAGCGGAAAGCGGAGCATGTTTGCTTGCTAAGGAGCAGAGTGGACCTAGAAGCGAGGGAGAGAGAGAGAGAGAGAGAGAGAGAGAGAGGAGAGAGAGAGAGAGAGAGAGAGAGAGAGAGAGAGAGAGAGAGATTTTGTCACCTATGTCTTCCAACATTCTCATGCAGCTCACATTACAGCTGTGGAATGACAGGAATGACATACAGTCATTCCTTCACAATATCAGCCACAATAACCCCTAACAGCTATCTCTACTCAGCAACTAATAATAGTAGCCTCCATCAGTTCCTAACACCAATTTACACTTTCTGTTAGTAACCAATTTCTAACAGTGTCCTTCAACGGTCGCTAATATCTAACAGCACCATCCACCAGTCCCAACAGTGCCATTGCCACAGCACCATCCACCATGCCCAACAGTGCCATTCGTCAGTATTAATTAACTAGGCTCCCTTCTAACCATCACGCTAACAGGCACTCTGTACTACGAAACAATTCCTTAATTGCTGAGAGAAAAATATTGAAGATCGAATCCACGTCTTTCAATTCCTCATACACACGCTCTGCCAAGCTAATAAGTGTCTGGGTAAGTCGAGGAACGCAGCTTCAATCCCACTGTATAGTATCAATATATTATTATAGATATATGTTCTTCTGATGTCAGTGTGCCCAAATGATCAATTTACCTAAAAAATCACATTGCTGCTGTCTGCTGGGAGACGTTAGCAATCAATAACACTGACTCTTAATAATGCCAAAACTTTTATAAGTGCTTCAACAAAATTCTTCAGACTGGCATTTAGCAATCATCAACCTGCCTTATCACTATTCAACACGCTCCAGTACCTATGAGTACCTCCCATTACTGAACTCCCCAGGACCAGTGAGTACCTTCCAGTACTCAATGGTCCAGTACCCACAAGGACCTCCCAACGATTCCTTAACACGCTCCAGTACCCACAATTGCCCTTACAACCACCCGTGAAAATTTAGAGACCCCTAGAAAAGTTCAACAAGTTCTAACTATGTGATTCAACAGCTCACTCAGCTAACGGGGTGTGAGAGGAAGGGGGAGGGTGAAAACCCACTCCCACAGTGGGTTCAGGACCCACTCCCACAGTGGGGTGAGGACCCACTCCCACAGTGGGTCAGAGGGTAGACCCAGGCTAGAGCATTGATCGCCCAGGCCTCCCTCTCTCCCCCTGTCTATGCCGTGATGGAAGGCGGTTCATTCACCAATTACTGGAGGAAGAAAATACAAATGGGCTCAGACAAGGAACGCTGAGACTTAAGGAAGGTTAAAGACACCATTCAGGTGTGTGGAGAGGACTAAGGAGGCAAGGGCGGGTAAACGGCGGGAGGTAGGAGAAAGGAGGGAGGGAGGGAGGTGAGGATAATTGTAGATGCAGAGAGGAGGGGAAATAAGAACCAGACTTGGCAGAAAAAGAATGTCTGGTGGAGAGGAATGGCATGAAGGAGTGTAGCACGACACACTAATGGGCGAAAGGAGGGTGAGCAGATGAAAGGAAAACCCAGAGAGAGAGAGAGAGAGAGAGAGAGAGAGAGAGAGAGAGAGAGAGAGAGAGAGAGAGAGAGGAGAGAGAGAGAGAGAGAGGAGAGAGAGAGAGAGAGAGAGAGAGAGAGAGAGAGAGAGAGAGACAGAGAGAGAGAGACAGAGAGAGAGAGAGACAGAGAGAGAGAGAGAGAGAGAGAGAGAGAGAGAGAGAGAGAGAGAGAGAGAGAGAGAGAGAGAGAGAGAGAGAGAGAGAGAGAGAGAGAGAGAGAGAGAGAGAGAGAGAGAGAGACGAAATAGGCAGATGGAAGGGAAGAAGCTTTAACAGAGAACTTAGAAAGCAATGGTAAGGGCAAAACATTGAACAAAATATAGTAAGAGGGAGTGCGGGGTGCACGTTGAAAGGCTTGATAGGCGAGGAGGAAGATTACAAACTTCATGGGCAGAGAGGAACCAGAGGAACGGGGCAGGAGGGGACCAGAGGAACAGGACAAGGGGGGACCGGAGGAAAGGGGCAGCGGGGAACTAGAGGAACGGGATAGGAAACAACACAACAAACAACAAGTCTCACATCCCAGATCACTAACCAAATTCTCCCATCTGTCCCCTCCCCCTCTGGAAGCGCTGGAAAAGTTTAACTAAACAGAACCGTCGGTTTTGAAATACGAGGCGCTGTTACACCCCCCGACCTCCTGGACCACACCGTCACCACCACCACCACTAACCACCACCAGCACCACCACCACCACCACCACCACCACCACTAACCACCACTAACCACCACCACTAACCACCAGCAACATCACCACTAACCACCACCAGCACCACCACTAACCACCACCAGCACCACCACTAACCACCACCACCACAACATAACCACCGTCACAAATAACAAAACAGCCACATCCCCGCCCTGAAACGGCCGAGTGCTCGGTGTGGCTGGCAGCAACCGGCTGGAGCCGGTTATGAACTACACACCGGCTGGTGGAGGTCCAAGACAGCACCAGCTGTGTCTATACCACAGACCAGAGCCACGAGAGAGCCAGCTGTCCGCCCCACAATACCCGCTGACCAGGATAAGCCACATGTCTACACAACTGGCGCTAATAATCTGTCTATTAAATATCTTAAGTAATATCCCTAAGTACCTTATGTGGGAGCCGGTGGCTGAGCGGACAGAACACTGGACGCGTGATCCTGTGGTCCCGGGTTCGATCCCGGGCGCCAGCGAGAAACGATGGGCAGAGTTTCTTTCACCCTGATGCCCCTGTTATCAAGCAGTTAATGGGTACCTGGGTGTTAGTCAGCTGTCACGGGCTGCTTCCTGGGGGGTGGAGGCCTGGTCGAGGACCGGGCCGCGGGGACACTAAAGCCCCGAAATCATCTCAAGATAACCCTGCCCTCTACCTCTCCTCACACACACACACACAACTAGATGACAGTTTGATTTCTGTTGATTGATTGACTGATTCTTTATTATGCACCCCATACCCATCCCGTGGGCTGTGGTGGAAAGGGTCACAGAGGCACATAATGGGTTCAGGAACTGATGAACCCCATAGTTCGCTTAGCTAAGCAAGTGACAAGCTTCTGGAGCTAGTGACACAATTGTCACGATAAGTTAACACTTTTGCCAACTGGTCGTAGTTACCAAGTAATAGTTACCTAGAGCCCATAGCAACTGGTATGCCATACCCATCATACCTGCAGGAGAGAAGAACAATATTACTTTAAAAAACAATCAACTATATATATATATATATATATATATATATATATATATATATATATATATATATATATATATATAATCAACCCATCCTCCTGACAAGATAGTAATTATTGTAAGTATGTAAGTATGTGGATAAGATAGTAATTATTGTAAGTAATTATTGGACGATCGTACACATTACACGTTAAACAACAATAATAACCTTTACAGTTACTACCATCCCTCCTCCCCTTACCCCTAATGTTCTTCAGTGTTAATGAGGTCAGTCATTCAACTTTTCACTGCAGTTAAATTCAGAGTGTCGGCTGCATGTTTGTGTAGTCACCTAGTTGTGGTCACTTAGTTGTGTTTGCGGGGGCTGAGCTTTGGCTCTTTGGTCCTGCCTCTCAACCGTCAATCAACAGGTGTACAGATTCCTGAGCCTATCGGGCTCTGTATGTGTGTGTGTGTGTGTGTGTGTGTGTGTGTGTGTGTGTACTCACCTATATGTACTCACCTATATGTGCTTGCAGGATCGAGCATTGACTCTTGGATCCCGCCTTTCTAGCTATCGGTTGTTTACAGCAATGACTCCTGTCCCATTTCCCTATCATACCTAGTTTTAAAAGTATGAATAGTATTTGCTTCCACAACCTGTTCCCCAAGTGCATTCCATTTTTCTACTACTCTCACGCTAAAAGAAAACTTCCTAACATCTCTGTGACTCATCTGAGTTTCCAGTTTCCACCCATGTCCCCTCGTTCTGTTATTATTACGTGTGAACATTTGATCTATTTCCACTTTGTCAATTCCCCTGAGTATTTTATATGTCCCTATCATATCTCCTCTCACCCTTCTTTTCTCTAGTGTCGTAAGGTTTAGTTCCTTCAGCCGCTCTTCATATCCCATCCCTCGTAGCTCTGGGACAAGCCTCGTCGCAAACCTCTGAACCTTCTCCAGTTTCTTTATGTGTTTCTTCAGGTGGGGGCTCCATGATGGCGCGGCATACTCTAAGACGGGTCTCACGTAGGCAGTGTAAAGCGCCCTAAAAGCTTCCTCATTTAGGTTTCTGAATGAAGTTCTAATTTTCGCCAGTGTAGAGTACGCTGCTGTC